TATTTGTGTGTTCCCTTTCCCGCTTGAGTTGTTCGCCGCCCTGAGTCCCTTTTGGGAATAGGGCGGCATATAAATAAAACAAACCTCAACCTCATCCTTCCTTCCTTCCTTCCTTCCTTCCTTCCTTCCTTCCTTCCTTCCTTCCCTTCCTCCCTCCCTCCCTCCCTCCCTCCCTCCCTTCTGGAAGGAAGAAAAGAAGGAATTACTAGTAAGCAAGGAACAATGATTAACCACTGCTGTACTGTTGCCAAGAAAACAGGCCAAGATGAACTTGAGGAGCAGTACATAGAACGGAGGAAATAATACATGAAGGTTGAGATAGGAAGGAGAAGGAACTCTAGTTCACTTCTGAATGCATTTTCCCCTATCAATTCAATTTGTTTTTAATGCGAGGTATAACGTTCTAAGATTTCTCTTGGGTGTGGGGGGTGAGGGATTATCCACAAGTTCAACACCATCCTTTGTCACCTACCAGCTGTACGAACTGTTGTTCGAGTGCTTTGTATTCAGGGGAACTCTGATTGAAGAGGTCATTGGAAAAGCGCATGTTGGTCACCCTCAAGCTGAAGAATACCACCAGCTCTTGGCTTTGGATTGCAGCTGTCATGGAGCGTGTGGTTATATACTTCAGGGTAGGAGCTGGAGTCATACCTGGGGATTCTGGCAATGTATGGTAGCCACTTCCCTCCTCCTCCTCCTCCACTGTCACTGGGGCCATCATGTCAGTGATAACTAAGTCAGTGGTAAGGTCCTGCACTCCTGTTTCAAAATCAGTTGAGGTTGCCCACATGGAGCTGGTGGCTTCAAAAAAATGGCCCATGTCAGTGGAAGGGCCACTGGAGGTAGGGCCACTGGAGGTATCTGCTGGCAATAAAGTCAACTGATCTGTAGGCTCCAAAATATCATCTCTTGGAAGAACGGTGGAACGAATGATAGGTGGGATTGTGGTCAAGGGCAGCAACTCCTCCTCCCCTGAAGATTCCAGTTCTTCTGTAGTCTTTTCCTCTAAAAAGGAAGTAACAGAATAACAGAGTTGGAAGGGACCTCGGAGGTCTTCTAGTCCAACCTCCTGCTAAAGCAGGAGACTCTGTACAATTTCAGACAAAAGGCTGTCCAGTCTCTTCTTGAAAAGCTCCAGTGTTGAAGCACCCACAACTTCTGAAGGCAAGCTGCTCCACTGGTTAATTGTTCTCACTGTCAGGAAATAAACTAGGTTTGATTTTTTTTTTTTAAAGCAACAGTGATTTGTTTCCTACCTGACTGGATACAAATCCTTTCAGACTGATTTGGAAGCAATGCAAAAATATGTTAATAGAGTTATATAAATGTGCAATAAGCTTATAAGAAGCAGAAAAATTGGAGGTAGTAGCCCAAAGAGAAGGAGGCAGAGTAAATGTAGTTGAAGTGGGTTAATTGTTGCCTTGTTTTACACTTTCTCAGGATGAAAGCTAAGTAATTTTACCTGAGCTGAATTTACACAACATGTTTAGTTTAATACCTTGCTAAACAAATGCATGTACATTGACACAGAACCTGGACTTTGAAACAGATATCATTTGGGGTTCCTGTATTTGTGACCTAGAGGATCCTTAATACAGATACCAAATAATCTATAAAACTCTTTTATACATACCAGTTCTGACCCCCCTCGTTCCACACCAAAGCACACTCCGAGCCAAAGATANTATACAATTGTAAAACTTATTAAAACTTTTTAATAAAAAAAACGGAGTAGCTCCACCAGCAATAAAGTCTCTCTTTGTCATCATATTATTTTACAAGCGTCCTCAAAATATACTGCATTCCATGTAGTTTTACTAGATAGTTATCTATTTATTTATCTATGAAGAACAATGAGCAGGGCTTAGAGGAAAGCAATATTCTCCTGTTTTCTGCTTCACTTTTTCTATTACCTGGCTCTATTTCAAGAGAAGAGCTGTCAATTTGCAAGTTAAGACGCCGAGCAGCTGCATTGCAGAAATCTTCCAACACACAGTGAACAGCCTTGGTGATGTTGTATGGTACTGACTCCACAAACTTCATTTTGCTATTTACAATCACGCTTCCATTGCGGAAATTCAGAATTTCCAACTGCTTAAATCCTGTAAGATTGGATTCTAGGTAGGGAACCAGCTGAAAAATGAAAGACAATTATGCTATATGGTGTCACACACACTCACTATTTATTTTGAGAAATACAAATTTACTCTGTTTCACTGATGCTATTAGCTGATTTTACAAGTAATACCAAGTCAAGTTTCTGAATTAGCCTTTCAGTGGCAGCTCTCAAGATAGATCTTTTAAATTTAAAACAATCAAGACAGCTAGAGTGCTCTTCTGATACAAATTCCATTCACAGGATGCAGTACAGTTAAAAAGAAATCAATGACATTTAAGTCTACTTAAATGTAAATTACAGTTGTATGAGTGTTTCCTTTAATTTCATATGGATTTTCCCCACAATAGGTTATACAGGTAGAAAGAATGAGCTCCACGTTTGTGAAACATATAAGCAACAAAATATTGGATTAAATGGGACTTTGTCTGATCTAGTAGGGACAATTCTTACATTCTTATATAATTCTGTTTGTCATTCCACAATGGTTACTTGAGTTTCTATATTATACAAAATATTGTTCACATGTACTTTCAGGTCAATGAGATGAACATTCAATTTCACCTAGACTTTGCATTAGAACATAATATAAGGATATATTTGGACAAAGAACTAAATTAATAGTCATCTGTAAATTATTATGCTCTTTGAAATTTATGTACTTTCATGGGATTGAACTGTAAGTACAGTAAAACCAATGCAATATTGACTGCTGCTATTTTCAGGTCAAATAAACATTATAACCTCAAAGACACATTTCTTTCCATTAACTTGTATTCTCACACTTGAAAAAAGCAATACATTTATCTTCTATCACTTTCCAACTTTTCTCCCTTCCTAGTTCATTTTGGCATCAGAACTGGAAATAAAATTGGCTGTAAATAGTATGGATCTAAGAAACTGGAAAATACATCCCAAAATAACATTTAAAAAATCTCAAAAATCTAAGTAAGTGAATAGTGGTGGGGAAAAACCATAAGGAAATTTCAGGGCTTTAAACTAATCCTTCCTTCCTTCCTTCCTTCCTTCCTTCCTTCCTTCCTTCCTTCCTTCCTTCCTTCCTTCCTTCCTTCCTTTCTTCCTTCCT